TTTTTTTTTTTTTTTTTTTTTTTTAATTATGATGCGTGCCATTCTCTAAGTCCAAATGAATTGCCGCTCCGGCTAGGAGTTCTACCTTCTACTCTTTGTGATTTACGGTTTGTTTCTTTTATCTGGTATTGAGACGCGTGTGCAGGAAGCAGAAAGAGAGAGAAGGGAGAGAGAAGGGAGAGAGAAGGGAGAGAGAAGGTGTTCTTTTTGGGAACGTGAGGAAGTGCAAGAGGAGTGTTCGTCCAAACGTGAGGTGAGCGCGGACCCCTCTTGAGCGATCTACTAACACCCCTTCCTCCGGCATGGCAGACATCACATCTGCCCAATGGCAGGCCATGCTGGACGCAGCGGACGAGAACGAGAAACCGTTCTTTCAAAAACTTTATGACGATGCTGTACAGAGGGAAAGGGAGGCAGAGGCAGCAACCAGAGCCACAAGCATTGCTGAACAGGCAGCCCTCCTTGCGGTTCCGGAATCGAATGATGACCGGTTCCGAGAGAAGTTAGTTGTTGCCGTAGCGGCCTTGGTTCGACTGCGGACCCTGGAAGACCTTGAGTCCTGTGTGACAGCCCTGGAGCGGCGGAATCAAGAGCTGCAGGCTGAGATAGTCAGCCTCAAACAGTCCCAACTGTCTGCCCCCCGTCCTCCTAACCCTCGATCTGCTGCAGTCGCAGTCTCTCAACCTAACACAGTCCTCATGTCGAGAGCAAGTGGAACTGTGACGAGCGCAGGAACCGGTGCCAGCTCCTCAAGCGGCAGCGCCGACAGTTCTGCACTAGTCATAGTCCCAAATGCAGGAACTTCATCCCAAAACGCCACAGTTCTTACTGGCGTACTCCCGTAGTGGACAAGCGGGCGGCCACTCTGCCGTCCAAGGACGATGGGAAAGGGGACATCACCTCTTGGATTAGCTCCATGCGCTCATACTTCGAGTTACTGGGAACTCCGCAGGAAGACCGAAGCATGATCATGGGCACAAATACTGAGCCCGCCGTACGGAGTTTCATAGAACTCCAAACTGTTACAGCAGGTTATGACAGGATTGACCTGACTGAGTGGCTGAAAGCAACTCCTGTACGCACTCTTGAGGACCTTCTCATCACACGGTACCGAGATAAGCACGCTGCGCTCAAGGCAAGGCTGAAGCTTGAGGCCCTCAAGGGCCAAACGTGGAGGACCTCCACGCAGGCTTTGGAACAACGCTTGACTGGTTTGTACACCACTCCAAACCTGGGAATGACTGACGTGTCTTGCATGGATGTAGTCATGGGAGTGGCCCCTAAAGAATACCTCTCCCTGTTAGGACTCAAAGACCATACCACTTGGCGAGAGCTCATGACGAATCTAGTCAACCTAGAGGCCAAGGACCTCGCCGGGCGTACAAAGGCGCCCGCTGCAGGTGGCTAATCACAACGCAAACGGTATGGAAGCAGCAACCAGCTTGCCCTGCATGATCATCGGGAGGCTGAAGATCAGTCCTACGCGGATGATCTGTCTCTAGATAACGATTTAGAGCCGGACTCCGATATGGGCTGTTCTACATCAGCCATTGAGTCTAATGTGAATGAAGATGAAAAACTTAATGCTTTCAAAAAGACTGCTTCAAGCAAGGGGCCTAACCGTGGTTCGGGTAGGGGAAGTATAGCACACCTCCCCAAGAACGCGAAGATCCTTGAGAAACCGGAGGATGCTTCTACCAAGCCTTGGGAAGCCCTCCATATCGGTCAAAAAAAGTGGGAAAGAAGATCCAAACTGCGTGTATGCTTGCATTGTCAGAAGCCTGGGAATGCTGCGCAGGACTGTTATCCGCTGTAGGGAAACAGGCAAAGGGCGTAGAGGAGTCATCAGCACTCCCTACAACAAGGGGAGCTGAACGGTCAGTTGCAGGCCCTTCCAAGGAGCCTGAATCTGATCAGCAGCTTGCCCTTGAAACCCGAACTGATGCTGAATCCAAGGCTGGTTCAGTCCAAGTACTTTACACTGAGCCTTGGGAAGAGACTCAGGAAGTTTGACTTCCACTCTCACCTGGAACATTGGCTGCAGCTCAAGAAGCAACGCCGTGTTCAAGGGAGTGTGGAGCTAACTTTCTTTAAGTTACTCATTAACCGCCGATACATCCGTGTGCTGATTGATAGTGGTTCAACGACTAACTTCTTTTCTCCTAACGGGATTCTTAAGGCGGGYCTGGGAATGAAGCAAGTGGAATTGTAGAACCCTTGTCAGACCCAGGTGGGCAACCAAGAGGTTGTCACCTCAACACATGCTGTCAAAGGTGTGCGCGTCACTTTTGACAAGGATCGCACTGTCACACATGAGCTGAACTTTTATGTCATGGACAAGTGTCCGTTCGACGCGGTCATTGGTTTGGGGCCTTTGGGCTGGTAAAAGGCTCACTGCCTAAGGACCACGTGGGCGGATAATCAGTTCGTGGTGCGTGACGCAAAGGGGAACGAGCGTACCGTTCTATTGGACGAGACGCGCGAGTCCCCTGTGACTCTTTTGAGTGCGAATAAATTCTGCAAAGCAGTGCGCAGGCGCAAGGAAGTTGAGCATGTACATATAGCTCTTGTAAAGCCTCTCCATGTACCTTCTACTTTTGCTGCATTTTCTACCTCGGAAGGTAACTCTACTTCTATTCCCTCTACTTCTACTGTGAATAATCACTCTACTTCTGATCCAAATAGTTTGAATCCAGTTGTAATTGCTGTAAATTCTCGATCTGATTTTCTTTCTCCTGATGAGGATGATCCTCCACCGGAAGTCCCAACAAACATTCGCCGTCTATTAGATCGATTCCCTGAAGTTCTGGCCGAGCCTCGTGGAGTTCCCAAGCGTCCGGTCAAACACAAGATCGACATATTAGAAAGGAGTGTTCCTCCAAAGGGTTGCGTCTACCGTATGGGACAAGGCGAGTTGGAGGAGTTGAGGCGACAAATTGATGACATGATCGACCTTGAATGGATTGGGCCTAGTGAGTCTGAGTTCGGTGCACCTGTCTTGTTTGTACCGAAGAAAGGAGGCAAACTCCGGATGTGTATTGACTAGCGTGGCCTGAATCGGATCACCAAAAAGAATGCTTATCCTTTGCCTCGCATAGATGATCTGCTAGATGCGGCAGGTGGGTGCAAGGTCTTCTCCAAGATCGACCTCAAGTCTGGCTACCACCAGATTGAAGTTGATCCGAGTGACCAGCACAAAACTGCATTCAAAACGCGCGATGGGCTGTACGAATTCATCATTATGCCCTTCGGTCTTACGAATGCACCAGCCACATTTCAGTGCCTCGTGGACAAGGTTCTCCGCCATCAGCTTAACATGTTTGTGGTTGTTTACCTTGATGACATCCTGATTTTCAGCAAGTCCATGGAAGAGCACGTCAAGCACCTTGAGGAGGTTCTGCAGGTCCTCAAGGAGGCGCAACTGCACCTCAACTTAGAGAAATCTGAGTTTGGAAGGGACATCGTCATCTATCTCGGGCACCGGTTGTCTGCAAACGGCCTTGAGCCGGAGGCAACCAAGGTGGAGGTCATACGAAAGTGGCCTCAACCAGCAAACATGCGCGAACTGCGTTCTTTTCTTGGTTTGGCCTCATATTCCCGGAAGTTTGTGCCCAAACTTCCTGTCATTGCTCACCCACTCTCGAGACTAACAAGTAAGAATGTTGCCTATGCGTGGTGTGAGAAATGTGAGACTGCGTTCCAAGCCTTGAAAGAGGCATTGGTGAGTCATCCTGTGCTCCACATTGCGGATCCCAACCTCACATTCGTAGTCATTACGGACGCGAGCCAGTTTGGGATTGGTGCAATGCTGCAACAAGACGATGGTGATGGTTTGCATCCACTCGAGTATTACAGCAAACGCATGCCCAGTCACAAGGTAGGTACCTCTACGTATATGCGCGAGCTCTACGCCTTGCATGAGGCACTCACACATTGGAAGCACTACCTCTTGGGTCGGCACTTCAAGGTTTACTCAGATCACCAAACCTTGCAGTGGATTAAGACACAAACTGATATCTCTCCTACACTGACCCGCTGGTTGCATGACATTGATGTTATAACCGAGTTGCTGATGCTCTGTCCCGCCATCCTGAGTTTTTGACTTGCCTTGTGGGTTCGTATGACCTCCGAAGGAAACTAAAGGAGGATCTGGCCGAACACACCGCCAAGGATCCGGACCTTAGTCCCATCCTTGAGCAGCTCAAGGCTGACCCTAACAGTCAGCCTGATTTTCATGAGTGCGAGGGTCTTGTATTCCGCCGGTATGGGAAGTTTAATCGTTTGTGTGTACCCAACAATGCGCCTCTCCGGACTCATTTCTTGGATTTGGCACATGGTCGGAGTGGACACTTCGGCTTTGAAAAGACTTATGGAAGCCTTTTGCAACAGTTTGATTGGCCGGGAATGAAGGGATCTGCTCAGAAGTTTATCGTTGAATGTCAAGTCTGTCAAAGAACCAAGGTTCACAGGTATAAGCCTTATGGCCTGCTGAGACCCCTTCCCATTCCTGATGGACCCGGTGAGTCGATTTCCATCGACTTCACAAACATGGGAAAGGTGAGTGACACAGGGAATTCACAAGTCATGATCATCGTGGACCGTTTTTCCAAATTTATGAACATGATTCCTTTCCCTCCCCATGCCCCAACTGAGCTTGTCATCGAAGAATTTCATCAGCAGTATATTCTGCAGTTTGGCCACCCGGAAACTATTGTGAGTGATCGGGACACCAGATTTATTAGCAAAGATTGGAAGGACTTCACTTCTCAGATCTACGACATTAAACTCAACAAGACTTCTGGTCAACACCCCGAAGCCAATGGATTGGCTGAGGAAATCAACCAGACTGTCATCCAACTACTTCGCGCGTTAATTGTTCCAGATCAGAACGCATGGGACAAGGAGTTACACAAAGTGAAGGGGTTGTACAACAACTCCATTCACTCTGCAACGGGTGTGACACCGAATCAGCTGCAATACAGATGGTAGTTGCGCAATCCTCTCTCCTATCTGTTCCCCGAACGGTCACCTGGTCTGACGCCCTGCATGCCTGGCTACAATGCCAAGTATGCACGCTTGCTATGGCCCTTGGCAAGTTCTGAAAGTGATTGGGGATGATTTTGGTCCTTCGTATGTGATTAACGTGCCTCCTCATCTGCGCACGTATCCAGCCTTTCACGCATCCAAACTGTTTCCACACATCGATGATGAGACTTTTCCCTTCCGAGATCCTATGATACCTCGTCCTATCGATGTCGGTCATGAGATAGACAGAATTGTTTCCCACGAGGGAAGAGGGAGGAACAGACAGTACAAGGTTCACTTTCTCTATCACCCATTAACCGAATTCTTCTGGATCGACCGAAAAGAGCTATTAAAGAATGCTCCCCGTGTTGTGAACGCTTATGAACGACAGATCGCTGATGGACAGACTGCTAAGTTTTCTGCAAAACTCAGTTTTCTGCAAAACTCACTCCCTACAGTCTTACTAAATCCCTCTTTTTGATCTACGCCTACGATGCATTCTATGCAGACGCTGAATGAGTTACTCGCTCGAAGGGACCTCGCTCTTGAGAGGGGGGTAGTGTAATGACCCGCCAAAAACACAGACTGGGATTTGCCACTGGAATGAATGCCTTGCTGTGATTCCCGCATTCTGTTGTGGTTTCCAAGTTTGTGTGTGTGTGCGTGCCTGCTGGTTTGCATGCTTGTCTGAGTGCTTGTCGGTTGAGTGTGTGGGTGACCCGCAAGGGTACTTGTTGGTTGCAAGGCCCCGCAGGGCCGGTACTTACCTGTGGCCGTGACTTTCAGGGTTGCAGGGGCGTAAACAGTACTAAACACTCAAGTAGCGGGGGTAGGCCCTCGACACTTAGAGCAGCGGGGAAAAACACTCAAGTAGCAGGTAGGCCGGTACCACTCGAGTAGTGGTAGGAGTGTCGGGTACTGGAGGCCGAGCAGAAGAAGACAAAAAGTTGGCATTTTTAGAGGCCCAGTAGCGGTAGGATAGAGGTAGGCCGGTACCAGTCCAAGTAGCCCGGGTCTAGGGCCTGTCCGGAGGTTAGCAGAGCCTGCAATGATGTTTCCCTGCGAAAGGGAGGAGGCACCGGTTGCTGGGAGGCCGCTCGGCCTAGGAAGTCACCGCCCAGGAGGCCAGTAGGCCGCTATATCTTTAGGAGGAGCAAGTAGCTCCTCCTCATTTGTGGTATGCAAGGATTGGCGACATGCTGCTGGAGCACAGTGTAGGCAGCTGGAGCTCAGCCTGGCTATGGCGAGCAGTCCAGCTTGAGGAGGAGGAAGAAGGGGGCTAAGGAGGAGAGTGGCGAGGCACCTATGTTATGAACATGATTGTCTGCCGAAATTTTATCAGCACTCACTCGCAGGAACTCGCGTACACGCCCATACATGCACAGAAGGAAGGGGAGAGGTAGTGGAGTATCACACCGCCCAACAGGAAGAAACGCAGCGGAAGACTCAGGGGAGCTAAGTGACAAAATACACAGACAGTGAATTCTCTCCACACAATTCCCAACAATCATTCATAGAAGACAACCGAGTGATCATAGCCAGAAAACAATGAAGAGATGAT